TGCCGGTTGATGCTCGCAAACACGAGTGCATGGGTTTATCTTGCAGCTGCAGCAAAATAACTACGAGACGTGCATTTCTGAGCCTTGCAAAAAGCTGCGGCTCTGCCGTCCAGAAGGCCACGAGTCGCTTTTGGAAGGCAGCCTGTCAAGCCAGCGATTCATGGCAGAGAAGATTCTTCGCACGTGGAGTCCCCCAGCCGCACCAAAGCAGCCCGGGCCGCGGCGCACGAAGGGCTGGGAAAGCCCCGGGGTGGGGGACGTCAGGCCCCGGGCTCCACGGGCTCCTCCAAGCGACAACCATGAAGACAGCGAAACGTTCGAGTTAATGGAAACAAGTCTTTATTAAGTAACTTTTAATATCAGAAAAATAAAACTCTTATAATTCTCTTTACAGCAAATATATAATATCAGTGCTTTGGCCATCATAAGTTAAAGGCCCTTTATCATAAAATATATGGTTTTTAAACTTTACTCAAATTGAATTTATAATCCCTATGACCTCCCTACATATACATAACAAAAAGTGTAGTAAAATTAGCAAATACTAAACTATATCGATAGTTTATCATTCTTAGTTTGTGGTTTATAGAAATGGTACACGCACCTAATGTCTGTCGATTCCTTGGCTTATTAGTTGCCGTGTACGATGCAATAAAATACAAAATACATGCTTGGTGAACGTTTGTTCGTATCTACAAGCCTGAAGCTAGAGATTAGGTTTCAATACTGACATGTAACTATTCTACAAGCAATTATAGCATTAAAGTTATGCAGTACATAATATGCCATCAAGGCAACTCTTATACTGAAAATCATAAAATAAAAACCGTTATCTGTAAACTTTTATACGAAATGTAACTCTTCAAGTGGAAATAAAAAATAAAATTTTCTGTATATTTACTAGTTCAATACACGTAGAATTTTTGTGTTATACTGAGAAAAAAGCTTTGTCTTGGGAAAATAATGCTTCAAAAAAAATAGAAAAATCCACCAGAACTCCGCTTTGTGTCTTTTTTTTGTTTTTGTTGTTTTAATATATGCCAGCACAGATTTGGGAACGTACTGAGGATGAAGAAGCTAGAAACATCCACAGGTTGAAATGTAAGAAGCACATTCAAAAGACTTTTGGTTTTTTTTTTTTTCTTTTCTCCTTATGATTGGAAAGACAGTTTTGAAATGAAGTAAACTGATTGCAGGGCCACTGTCACAGCTGCTGTCATGAATAATACAAGGGCACGTACGCAACTCCCCCTTTTTCCTTTTCCTTACTAAAAATAAAATATATATTTATATATGTGCAAGACAAGTATGGATTGAACATAAAAATGCTTCACATTTTGAACTATATACTCTCTAAAAAAAAAATGTAATTTAAGAACAGCTTGATCGGACTAATGAACGGAATGTCAGCATCCTCACTATTAGTCGAAGTATGTGCATCCCAAAGCCCTCACTGAAACGGGATGAAGCCAGCCAGACTTTTCCGCATTACATTAAGAAAAGCGGTGGGTAGGAATTCACAAATCGAGATGTTCCTGATCCTCTGAACTTACTGCCCTTCACATGTCGGGCAAAATGGAGGTGCGTCGGGCAGCTTCTCCCTCCCTCCCCCGTAATTTATTACCTGAACCTGCCAATAACATCATCCATTTCAACAAATCAAACCACACTTTTTTTTAAAAAAAAAAAAAGGTACTTGCAATGCTGAAGAATTAGGCATAAGTTGTCGCACAAAGCAAAAATAATTTCCCCAAACCTGTTTTTCAAAACTGGCAGTGTAAAGAAGGCAGCATTGGAAGTGTTGTTTGATACATTGATAATGCCACAAACCCTCCACGGCAGACGAGTACTTCTGCGTTTAGGCGACGAGGTTCGTTGCTGCCAGCACACAGGAGTCAAACGCTTAACAGAGATCCTTTAGAAAGCCTGTAAAATTTGTTTTTTTTTGTTTTTCAGTTGTGTAATTGATGAAAACTTCCCCTCGCTGTGCCGTAACACCACAGCAGACGCAGCTCCGCTGAACGTGCCGGCTGCTTACACTGACCCGGACAGAGACCACCTAGGTTTAGTGTTACCGTAGCAGCCTTTTGAGAAAGTAGAAATTCATTAACAACTTCAGCCTAATCCCAAGAAAGCCCAACAGTCAGAATTCATTAGGAAGTTTACTAGAGGGTACCATTACACCCATGCCTTTAAGAGTTTTAAAAAGTCCATATATAATAATACCTATATATATTTAAGAGTGAATTTGGATTGCCTGAGTAACAGCTGTCTGGCAAACGGGACACGATGGCGTTTCCTTTTCACAGATTTTGTTGGCACACTCCATGCAGAAGAGATTGTGGCCGCAGGGGACCAGGGCCGCAATGACTTCGCTCTCGAAGCAGATCACGCAGTCGTGCTTCCGTCTGGACTCGGGGGGCGAGCTGGAGGTGGAGCCGCCGTTGGAAGAGGAATAGCTGTTGGTACCATTGGAGAAAGCGGGGATGTATATGGGAAGGCCGGCTTGGTGGCCGGTGCTAGGCGGGTCGCTCCTCACTCTCCTAGCCAGCGGGTGATCCAGACTTTCCGGAAATGTGGGCGACAGGCGAGGAGTCGATGGCTGGCTCCCTCGGCGCTGAGGCTTGGCGTTACTAGCAGGGTCGCTACCAAAGCCAGAGAGCGGGTTTACAGGTTCGAAAGGGGTCCAAATGGTTTGGGAAGGTGTTGGTAAGGAGTCGTACGCGGGAGAGTCGACCGCAAGGTCTTCCGTGCCCACCGCAGGCAGCGTTTCTCCAAACCAGAAGTTGCCTGTGCTGAACGGACTCGTTGGGCTGAAGTCAGCCAATCTATTGCTTCCAAAATAGGAATCTGTGGAGCCACTTCCCAAGGAGCTGGAGCTGTCATTTCTATAATTAGAAATCATTCTGGTGCGGCTCGGAGGGACAGGATTAGAAGCAAGCCACGCAGATCCGAGAGTGCCTCCTTCAAAGCTCACATCCGTACCGTTGTAATGGAAATCGTTCTCTTCGTTCAGCTCGATGTAGTTGCCGGTACGCATGGCTATGTGCATCTCGATCTCCTCGCGCGCCCGGTCGACGTTTTCGGGCATTCCCGTAACTTCGAAGACAGGCTCCTTGTCTCTGCTGGGAGTGACTATGTAGGTATGGGTCTGCTGCTGAATTCTTTTGATTGTAGCTCCTTTCGGTCCGACCACTAGCCCAACTACCCGGTAAGGCACCCTGACTTGGACTGTCGTCTGACCCGGCAGGTTGGGGGTACATGGCAAGCCTCCCAGGGCAGGACCGTTCTTGTTGCGCGACGCTCTGATCATGGAGAAGTGTTCAGCAGCTGAGAGAATTTCCCTTTTGGCCATGGCTACGTCCTCTTTTCGTCCAGTGACAACAAAGATGGGTTCTTCTCCACGAACAGGGGTCTTAATGTAAGTATTTGTCTTGGCCCTTAGTGCTTTTATTTTGCAACCTGTTTAAAGGAAACACATGGAAGTTTAGCAAGGCGTCTAAGTTTAGAAAGCCACAAGAAAGCCGTCTATTTTAAGCTGTTTGAGAGCTTCAAGAAACCGTAGGGTGAAACCAGAAGCAGCTGTTTTTATCTCTGCAAGCCACACTAGAGAAAGCGGTAACAACTTCTACCTATTATTTCCAAACAGACCTCTGACACTTACAGCCACAAACTATTTTAGCAATGCTTCTTGGGCCAGTTTAGCCCATCATCTCCTCAATTGCTATTAGACGGCAAATAAACGCGAACGGCTTTTTCCTCTATGACAGCCACGTTCACGATTATTCCACAAATACTGGTGGGTTTATATTTTTTTCCATTGATTGGGTATCTTTCCGTCGTTTCCAAGATCCTGCAAAAGGAGTAAATACACGCGCTTACGTCTGCTGATACATCAGCCTTTCAGTGACAAGCGTGACCTAAAAGCAAATTAAACATTGACGAGAGAGAAGGGTCTGTATCACAACCTGTGTGGAATACAGATAAAAAAAATATTGATTTACTGTGAACTCTTCATTTGCTTCCTGTTATCAATAAGCGTTATTTAAACCTTACTCTTCCCTGTGGGACGAAGGAGCCACTCCTTGAACCGTCAAGCAGGAGTTCAAGCAGTTTGTTGCACGCAAATAAGGCTTACTATGTAATATTACGTGCCTACGTGGAATTTCTCTCGTTAACTGGGTAAATACAGTCTGGAAGAGAAGCAAAAAGTTAACGGAACATTTGTCTTTGGTTTTTGGGGACTGAATTAGAAAGTTTGCTAGGACGCAGTGGCAGCAGGCTGTTCCCTAAAACGCTTACGGCGTTTTGGCATGGTGCCTACAGAAGCACCTTTTACCCATCACAGGACCAGAAAAGCAGGCAGCGCAAAATGAAGAGACACAAGCAGGTCCACGACATGCAAGACAGTCCACCGGATTCAGTCTTCACCGAATTTAGCCTCTATTAAAACAAATTCAAAAGCATGCCGCACTAAATGCCATTTTATAGGGAACCTCATCTTGAAACAACTATCAGCAACATTTGCAGATCAAGCGTTTTAAGCATCATTTCACTTGCAGAGTGAAATTTGTTCCCATTTTCCTCATTTACTTTAAGTAGCTCATAACTGCCTGGGTACACCAAATAGTCTCTCGAAATAGTGTTTTGCCAGTCCCCTGCACCTGAGGTACCACTAGCGGTAATAATTTTACAGTTAGAAAGCCACTTGGAGATGCACTTTATTCAGAACTATCTGCTAATAAAAAAAAGAAATACAGCAAATCTGCAGACGCTCGTCGGAATAGAGGGAAGGAAGGGCTGCTTCTTGCAGGGCCCCTGCACACAGCAAGGACAAAGGCTGAACACAACAGCTCTTTGTTTCCAGGACACAGCTGGAGAGGAAGTTCATTATCTTCAACAGCTCCTCGGGAGGGCTCTTGGAGGCCCTACCTCCATCAGAACGTGCACAGAGGAGCACGGGAGGGCTCCTGCAAGGGAAGGAGCGAGGTGCAGGCAGATCTGCGCGAAGGAGGGGACGCGGACCCGAGCAGTTCAGCGAGAAGAGCAAGTATCTGCAGGAGAGAAGAAACCCGTGAGCCTCAACCTCCCACTACAGCCCGCTGAGAAGGGCACCAGCACTCCCCTAGATAAAAAAAGGGAAACCACAGGCATGAGATGCCTTATGGAAGTAGCAAAGCACGCATCCTTTGAAGCCGTGCCATTTCCCTGCTCCTAAGACAGCCGCACCTCTCTTAGGCAATTCGCCTTTACTCCCTCCAGCTCTTTTGTTTGCATTTCTCCCCGTAAGTAAGTCCGCTTGCCCGCTCTGCTTCCCATTTACTTCACAGTTACTCCGAAAAGACGGTGGGGCCCAAACCTTAAACCCCGAAGGATCCCCAAGATGGTGCTGCTGAAGTTTTCGCGCCAATCAAGCCCTCTTTACTGGAACACGGAAAACCAAAGTCAGCCCCCTGATGCCTATCAATTATTCTCCAATTTAAACAAATTACTTTCATTTACTCCATTCCACCCAAGTATATATTCTTCTTTCCTAGAAATTGCAGAGGCAGCATTTAGAAGAGAATACTAGGAGCATCTAGCATAAGATTTATATATCTAAAATATATATAATTCATTATTATATACCGCAATTCAGAGCCTACTTAACTCTAAAGTGCCTTACCAATTCTTACAGTTTACATTTTAGACAAGATTTTCCTGATGTTTTACAAACTCAAATCAGTTTCGGAGTCCACAGCTTCATCTTCCTTCCCTGTTTCAGCTGCGAACTCCCAGGGATTGCTTTGCCAGCGCCACATTTCCAAACTGCTCCGGTGGGAAGAAAAGCCTTCTCGCATTTCTTCCTCGGGCTGCAGAACGGCACAGACCAAGGTGGGCAGAGCTTTTCTTTTAAGGTATGAGTCACATACCTAGAAAGCAGAGGCCAAACGCTGCCTCAACTCCCTGAAGCGCTAGAACGAGACTTTTAAACATCGGAGAGCTGGCTTCAATGGAAAGCTGACTCCACAGACCGTCAAGGTCAACTCTCAAACTTTGCCTGAAAAGTTAGAAAGAGCTGAAGAAAGTCACCACATACGAAAGCAGAGATTTCTGAATGAGTCAGTCAATACCCGCTGGGTTTTGTCTGCAAGGAGCGCTGGAAAACCCCACAAGGGTCGTGTCAAAACCCAGGGTCAGCAGCCCACGATACCACTCCGCCAGGATGATCTTTCTATTTGCTTTTACTCAGCTGCTCTGGTTTCCCACCCTCCTCCGTTACTCACTACCGAGGTGACGCTACGAAGCACGGCCGATCCCATCCCTGCTCCGACAATTCACGGCATCCAGAAGCACCGTGGCCACAAGGGCATGAGGTCGGCCAGCTATGAAGTCATGCGGCCAAGAGATGAATCAAGAAGTTTCCCAATCTCCTGATTTTAAACACAAAGACAAAGGAGGGGAAAAAAAAAATACACCGCCCCACACTTTTGCAATAAATCATCAGATCATTGTATTGAAGATTTTGAAGTACAGACATGAAACAGCCTGAAAAGGGGACTTCCAGACTGGAAATTTAATTTAATCAAACCTTTCAAAGTGATTTTAGTTTCGGTACGATAATGAAAATCTATTTAATAGATGTTACCGTACTTGGTTCGGCAGCGTAAGCGTTCCTAAGCAGCACATTCAGCCATAAGCACACGCTGACAGTGTTAAAGCAAAACCCTTTAGTTTTGCTTTCGTTTAGGCAAAGATTTAGTACCTGCCTGCCCAAGCGCCTGACAAGGAGCCGAGCCCGTACGGAGCCCTGCAGGCAGCGTTCATCCTGCGCCGGCTGATTTGCATCATTCTTCTCAATCCTCCTCCCTGCTTTTCCCCTAAGAGGATTATTTGACCAAACATTTTAAACACACTATGAACATTATACACCCCAGGAAACTTAAGGGTAGCTCTGAAGGAAATTGTTTACCTCATACACTACCAATTTTAAATGATCAAACACTTCCTTATTAAAAAAGGTGATGGGAAGACAGTTTTTTTTTTTTTCTCCCCCTCCCTTCAAGTTAAGCGTAGCTGCCACGGCACCCGCAGCCCTCACCCATCACACAGCGACAGCCAGCTCAGCCCTCACTCCAACTTTCGCCTTTCATCATCGCTTACAGAATGAGATACATCAAACCCAGTCTCAGGCCGTTCACCCCACGAGGGAAACTCCCCAACAGAGCCGGCAGAACCAAGCGACCGCAGTGGGAACCCTGCGCGCGCCCGCCTCGCGCCACGCCAGCCGACCTGCTGCCGTCGGCCAGGAACCGCCCGAAAAAGCATCCCACAGGCTCCTCCTTTGCACAGCCGTGGCGGTAACCCGGGAGAAACGGCACCTTCCCCCCGTTTCTTCCGCTGAATTCACTTCACGTCACTCCAGGAATAGGACAAAGAGTGATTTACAGATGAGGATCCCTTCGTTGCGTGGTCTCTTCCGAGCAGCTACAGCAGGGGAAGGGAGTCCTTCACACTTCCAACGTTCGCAAAACGCAGCCTGCCAAGGCAGGGACACGCACCTCGTACCCACGCTGCTCCTGCCAAGCGCTGTGAAACGGCAACCCAAACCTTCTTTCCGTCATGTCCATTTAACCTTGCCTCCCCAATTACATAGGGCTTTGGTAAAAAAAAAAAAAAAATCCTGGGGAAAAAAGTTTATCTAAATAGTAGCCTGGAAGTCACGGTGGGTGAAAATTCAGCGAGTGGCCCCTGTGAACCACACTCAAATGACGATAGCGGTTTGTTCTCCTGATGAGTACCAAGCTAAGGGGGTCAAAACTGAGCACCTGCTGCAGCTCTTTAGACACGCAAATCCTGTGGCAAGACACCAGCGCTGCCGGGGCTGGGAGAGCAGCGAGCAGGGGGAAGCTGCGTCAGCACCAACTCCTCTCTTACGCAGGAGGCAGGGCCGGTGCGCAGCCCTGACCAAAGCTGGCATCCTCCAACGCGGCCCCCGAGCAGCCGCGGGCAAAGCCCGGATCTCACAGATCAGCCTCCACGGCTTCTTAGCACTGAAGAGAAAGCCGTACTTCACAGGAATATATTTTTCAGTAGCTTTGCCATTATCTGATGAAAGGCAACACTGTGTTACAGCCTCCCCTCTGAATACAGTCTTTAGCACTCTGACCACTGATTTTGTAATCTGCTGACACCGAGTAAGGAGGCGGCGACAGAATAATTAGTGACATCAACCTGGAACCACAAAGTGCTAGTAGAGCCACGGCGAATTCCTTGCCTAGAAAGCAATGGCAGGGCCTGGGAGGTCCCCGCAGACCCGCAGGGGATGGCACAGCATTGCCGGGGGTGCCCACGAGAGAGGGGACTGCAGAGGGATTTGTTTTCTACGAACCTGCAACTCTTGCGTACGGACACAGCTTTAAGGGTAGAGTCTAAGCTGGCACAGCCCTTATTTCATTGCTAGGTTGCCACGAGCTTTTAAC